AGAACAAGTGTCTGTGCAAAGTGCATTTTCTTTCTTTGGCATGTTTTTTTTCGATTTTTTTTTCGTTTATATTGCTTTAATTTTTAATTCATGTGGGTGAAATACAACATGCATTTTCTCTAAGTTATTATCTATTTCTGCAGACATTGTAGGCCACATGCCTAGAGTCCTAAGCATTGCCATATTCTTGACATTTTTTTATTCTCATTATCTCTCACTGTGTTAACCGACGCCATATCAACTGAGTGCATTTATTTTGGCTCGGTATGATTATGCATTTGTAGGATATATTTGAATATTTAAATAATTTGGTTGAATTATGCACAAACATTTTTTCTTTCCCCACGCTTCCCACCTATCTCCGTCCCTTACACTCCCACTATTACCATCCTTACCGTCCTAAACCCCCTCCTAACCCCCACCCATTATTCCCCCTCCCTCTCTACCTATTTTCAATAATTCTGTTCAGGCCAATAGCATTCAATTATTTTTTTGTGACATTTACTTAAAATAGTATTTCTTTTTAAAAAAATGCATTAATTTTGGTGGCTGATGACCTGTCTTAATGACCTTTTCTGTCTTGTGATTCCTAGGTTTATTATCCAATATTATCTTGAAGTTAAGCTTCGAACGTTATATATTGTTTTCTTTTCTTAGACATGATTATACAAACAGAGTGTGTCTTGTTAATTCGTGTTTTCATATGGATATTGAATTCTTATACATACAAACGTTATACTTCTTTTTTTGTAAACCACTTGACACATAGTTGTTCATGTGAAATCAGGTTAGGTCCTATCAAACGATGTCAATACCTCACTTTTTAATGACCTATATTAGCCTCGATTTTTTCTTTCCACATTTATTTATACGTGTATAATATTGTGATTTTATCATTATCCAGTTATCGACGTATTTACGATAGAGTGATGAATTTACTTCCGGTTTGCATAAATATATTGGGAGCTGTAATAATATTAGCATAATTCATTGAATTAAATCAAATGATTTTAAGGTATTATTATAGTATATTTGTGCATATTCCGAAGTATTTTTTGCTAAAATTATTTATCTGCTTTATATATTTTTTTCTTTACTTATTCAAGTATGGTAAATTCTTCATTTAATCTATCGGCAATATGATTACTTATGTTTGGATCACTGTATACTTATTCTTTAGACATTTCATTTTACATCTACTAGCTATTGCCATTTCTAACAAAATTCAGATAACCTCATATGACCTCAGGTAAAAAATCCCTTTCCCACCATCAACTTCACCTGACTTAAATTACATTCAAGCTATTTATTTATTTATTTATCTCCGTGTTAGAGATTAATTATATTGTTCATGATTTTCGCTTTCACGAGTCATCACTAAATGCGAAATTGCCTCAATCATCCTTATGATTATCCCTTATTTCACTCAATACGATAATCGTTAGTATGCCAACCTAATTTTCGAAACATTTTCTTAATTAATCAATCTTAATCACGAACCTCACCTCATTATTACATGGTCCTTGGTGACGACCCCCAGCTAGGTATGGACATGTAATTAGCGTTAAGGTAATTAATGTAAAGTTGTCCTGTATGTGCCAAGCTGCACACTTATCACTAGAGGCGATCTCAGCGCCACGCCGCGCTTTCTTATCGCTATACGTGAAATTATCGCTGGTATTCCCCAAGAAGAAGGGATGTCCAATTTGCATTCTGCATATGAGCTCGTATGATGATATATCCCTTCTACGGTTGGGTCATCACATCATCACTTTTCCTCAGGGAATTTATTTTAAGGTTATATCATTTACAATCACGAGGGTTGTCGTTACATTTACAATCACGAGGGTTGTCACCGTTTCATTCATTTTACGTATTAATTAAAGTACCTTTTTGTATGATTTCGCATAGTAGTTGATTAATGTTGCAGTTACCTGAAGTAAGTTTATTGTTATTAGCGTGAATGTTTTTTTGTGCAGTCAGATCGGTGATAAATTTCATTAAGCTCAACCTACATTGCCATCCCCGCCTAAATACCTAACCCCCCCCTGTATGCCCTCCTGCCTCTCTCGCCCAGTCTCTGCCTCCGGTGTACTTCTTTCAGAGAAAGCCAGCACCATCCCGTCAAGGACGACGGTTAGTAGCGTATGCCGAGCGATCTGAGGAACAAGTATTACCTTCCCACGTCCCCAACGTTACGGACACCCGTGCAGCCGAGCCTCTCGTCAACGACAGAACACACATGACTAGGGCTCTCAGCCCTGACTAGACCTCCTCTTGGGGGCGCTCCCCCACACGCGTTACCGCTCAGCGCGCCCTTGGGCTCCCCTTGTCCAAAACTGCACCACACGAGATACAGCCCACACCACGCTACCAGCCGCCTCAAACAATAAAAAAAGAAAGCAGGATTGTCTTCATAACCCACCAAAGTCAGGCTAAAACAAAAATCCTGACACTCTTTCTCTCTCTCCTTTTTTTTAACATCTTTATTTATAGTCATCATATGGACATGTATAGGTTGAAATCAGTTCTTTTAGAACTTACAGGTTTCATTTTGCGGGTCAAAAGTTACCTATTTAAAGGAGCTTATTTGAAAAAGCAGTTCT